CACCACAAATCCTTCTACTATGAGGCTATTTGATTGATTTTATTGCCCATCCAGACCTCACTGGGGTGTTTTATTTGGTTACCCTCCCCACACACACTTCCCCAAAGGGGATCATTCCACTGACAGCACCAGTCGATTTAATCTTGTCATTTACCTGGTCCCACACTCAGTCTGTACTTCAGGCAAACTGTAGACTGGTTCCAGCACCTTCAGAATACAGAATGATCCTCAAGTTTAGTCGCTTATTTATGTCTAATCGGCTCTTAACAGGTGATTGATTTATGATGAACAGGCATAGGTCAGAAGAAAGTGCATCGTACACTCCCACGATGAGTGTTTTTCTTTCTTCTAATGGTCCGTGAGCTAACACTCCTGCATGTGGGGCCAACTAGCTGTGAAACGGGAATTGGTAGAGGGCAGAAATGCGTTATAGATTTATTCGAGTAGAGAGTGACAATCAATTAATCTGTGATTAAGGAACTCTGGAGCTAAAATCAGAAGAGATAGGAGTGCCCCCAGGGTCAGACCTGGGTACCACTGATATATCAGCCTTTCCAGGTCCCAGGTGTAACCTGTGGTGAGCACTGAAAATCATGTAATTTTAATTTATTGGGTATACCAGGAAAGACAAACAGAATGATCATCCATATTCATCCATATTTGAAACTAGTGCCTTCTGAACTACAGAAACAACGTGTGCATTTCCTGTGGTTTGGCCAGCAGCCATATCACTAAAACTCCCAACTGGCAACCCACTGAAGCTTAGAGGTGTGAGCCTGTCAGTACCGGGATGGGAGACCTCCTGGGAAAAACTAAGGTTGGTGCTGGAAGAGGTGTTAGTGGGGCCAGCAGGGGGTCCTCACCCCGCAGTCCATGTGGGTCCTAATGCCCCAGTATCGTAACTGTGACACTATGCTGTAATTTAGGCACTGTCTTTTGGATAAGACTTAAAACTGAGGTCCTGTGATCATTAAAAATCCCAGAGTGTCTCTCGAAAAGAGTAGGGGTGTAACCCTGGCATCCTGGCCAAATTTCCCATTGG